GGGAAAGAGAGACAGGCAGCAAAGTGAGCTCCCTTGAGAGGTTCTGGTCCTGCTGTGATTCCCCTCGTCTAGTCCTCCACCTCCTCAGAGCTGGGGCACTTAGTTTGTGCCCAACTTGTTCTCGGCTGACCAGCCATGAGTCTCAGTCCCTGAGTGAGATCTCACTTTTCTTAAGCAGCACATTATCACTGCACCATGGAACTAGCTGGGAATTGCTTTTAATGAGTGAGTTTATTGCAGAAATTGAAGGAAAGGGAAATAATTACATGGTATATTAATTTCTTGTTTCTAACTGAACTTCTGTGTACAATTTGACTTGTAGAAAATTACAGTAGCAGAATGCATCGAGACCCAGAGTAAAGCCATGACAATGCTCACCATTGAACAATTATCCTACCTGCTCAAATTTGCCATTCAGAAAATGAAACAGCCAGGGGTAAGGAAAACGTTCCTTTTGGTATATATTTGTCAATAAAAGTCTTGAATAGGGTTTTGTTCTGCTAATATCTTTGAAATTAAAAAAATATTATAATTATTATTTAAGTTTGCTATAGGTCATATGTGTTGATAAGGGAGAGAGAGAAAGCAACCTGTCAGGTCCGGGATTTGAATTGTGGTCAGCCATTTGGGAGTCTCACACCTGGACCATCACGCCACCTACTGGCCCCTGGTCTGTTAACATCTCACGTGTTGCTTGTCGGCTTAGTTTTTCAGACTCCTGTAGGATTCTTTTCATCTTCTGATGACCAAATTCTCATATTTGTAAATTAAACATTGAGTATGACGGCATTCAGTTAAATTGCTGTCATGAGTACTTGATGTCCCAAAGGTGTTTATTCAGGGAGTGATGTACAGTTAAAAGTTGGTGAGACTTGAAACATTCAGATTGGTTGCAAAGTGGAACCTTACACCCCACTGGTGCAAGCTTGGTGCTCTTCCCTTTGGGATTTGGCAAAATTCCATTTCTGTGAGAGAACTGAGTGTGGCCATTTTATTTATAAATAAAATAAATCTTAGATAGAACAGTCAAGAAAAAAACTCAACTAGTAAAATTCCCACCAAGGGTGAGCCTTTGGTTGATCTCCTCAATTTTAATTTCTTTCTTTTCTTTTTTTTTTTTTTTTTTTTTTTTGTGAGATTTTTGCTATCGGACATTGCCGGAGAGACAGAGACAGAAAGTGAGAAATCACTCCTATAAGGGGGATGGCCATATTGCAAGCCCTTCTCCTCTACTCTCCTCCAGGGATTCTGGGCATATGCACACACACACATCTGGCGTGAGTTTCAAGCTCCAGGTCCAGGACTTGAACCATAGTCAGCCTTGTGGGAGTCCTTTGCTTTGACTGCTGTGCTACCTAGTGGCCCCAGATACTTTGCTCCTTAAGGAGAATCTGCAAATGAAGACAGAACTACCCTAGTCAGCTGGCGAGATATATAACTCACAGAGGGACCTCCCCAGGAGTCCTGTCTGTGCTGTAGCTATTGTGGTAGTTTTCAGGAAAATGGCAGAAAACCATAATGGTATTGTCAATGACAATATAACTAGCATAATCCGGACATGTTTCTCCTACAGATGAATCTAAAGAAACATGCGGGCGGAGTTCCCCCATTGTGATTTGCATAAAGGCACTATGTGGGTTCGCTGTGACCCCTTGTGAAATTCTGTTTCAGTTTGCTTTTGAGGTTGAAAGAATATTCAGGAATGTAGAACTTCCGTTTTAGTAATCTCTGGCAATCAATTTCTTAAGAAACAAGAAGGTTTTGTTTCACAATCATATTTTAAAATGGGATGTTATGATGAAAAAAATGTGAATATGTCATCTGGATAGTGTTGATTTGGGAACATATTTGTTTCTTTAACAAAATCTCAATCAGTGGATACAAAAGAGTTTAGCCTCAGGTTGGTTATTTAGTTCATTTCTTTTTCTTTTTTCTTTTTTGTTTTTGGTGCTGTGGAATGATTTTTAGGTTGTCAGTGACAATTATGTGTTCCTCTAAAAAACCCAAAAAAACCAAGATTGTAGCCATGGGGCAAGAGTGCTCACCAGCAAGAAGGAAAGTGAAAAATCAGCCCCCCACCCGCCCCTCCGTCAGGCTGGGGCATTGCCACACTGCAGTCCCTTCTGCTCTATTCTCTCAGGATTTTGGACACTTGTGCCCAGCCTGATTCCTGAGCCACCAGAACTGGGACTTGAACCACAATCAGCCATGTGGGAGTCCTGTGCCCCCTGCTGGCCTGTCTTGTTGTTTTAAAAAATAGCTTTGCCATCAGGCAAGTGTACTCATTAGAGACAGAGAGAGAAAGTGAGAGATCACCCTTTAGGGGGATGGCCACGCTGCAAGCCATTATCTGTTGTTCTCTTGGGAATTTGGGCATACATGCCCACGTGCCAGTGTGTTGTTAAGCCACAGGTCTGAGACTCCAGTGCATAGTGAGCCATGTGGAATCTAACTTTCCTTATCTTCCATTCTGGCCCAATCCTACATTTTACTGGTTAAATTACAATATATGTGCTAAAGACTGTTTTAAAAAAGAATGTCAGAGCTAGCAGGTGGCATGGTGGTTGAGGACACTAGACTTCCACATGGCTGTCCAGGGTTTGAGTCCTGGACCTGGTGGCTTGTTCTTCCCCTCCCCCCTACTCCCCACCCTTAAACTGTCCATTTCTGGTCAAATTAAAACTAAAGTTTTTTTTAGAAAAAGTCAACACTGTAGAATTATATACTGAAAAGAAAAATGAAAAAAGGCATTACTTGCTCACAAATGGTTTGATGTCAAATCAATCAGGGTAGAAAGTTAGTGTTTTCAACTTGGAGTGGCCAAATGTTACTCTCGATAAAAAAGGATTATTATGGTTGCAAATGTTAACCTATTTAGATGTCTCACTTAGATATAATTTGACATTTTATTAAATGTGCTGTAATTGTTAATCTTTTCTTTTTAAATTAAAAAAATTTTCTTAGCATTATAATTTATTTATTTAGTAAAAGCTTATTTATTTCCATTTGTTGATAATATTTTAAAATTTTTGGACAGAGAGAAAGGGAAAGCGAGAAAGCAAGCCGCCAGTCTGGAACTTGAACAGCAATTGGCCATGTATGAATCCAGTGCCTTTAACCACTGTGCCACCTGCCAGTATTATTTTTAATTTGACCAGAGAGAGAGAGAAAGCAAGCTGTCAGGTCGGGGACTCGATCCATGGTCCGCCATGAGGGAGTCCAGCACCTTACCCACTGTGCCACCTGCCAGACCCTGTAACTGTTCATGTTAATTAAGAGGAGTGGACCTGTTACTTGGAAATATACTGAAAATAAATCTAGGAACAAAACCAAAACACAGCTGAGCCCATGATTACCAATAACAGATCAGATTAGAAAAGGTGGACCAGTTTGAAGCTTCCTAAGGCTGTCCTGGAATCTTCGAGAACTTTGTTTCAAGAAGCCGCCTCTGTATTTAAAGTCTGTGGCAACGATGACTTTGTGCTTCTGTGTGTGTTTCTTTTCTTTTATAGACAGATGCATTCCAGAAGCCCGTTCCATTGGAACAGCATCCCGACTATGCGGAATACATTTTTCATCCCATGGACCTTTGCACATTGGAAAAGGTTGGCTTCATCAAAAGTCCTCTGTTGTAGTCACCGTACCATTGTAGTCCAAAGTTGTCGGCGTGACTTAAGGCTCCTCCCTCACTGCCTATCCCTTGTCTCAAGTTAGAGGATTTCTCTCCATTCTCCTTGTTCCTTTTTTTTTTAAAGATATTTTTGCTATAGGGTGCATGCGTTCTCCAGAGACGGACAGAAAGTGAGAAATCACACCCCAGGGAGGATGGCCACATGGCAGTCCCTTCTCCTCTATTCTCCTCTCAAGACTTTGGACACGCACGCACCCATGCCCTGCATGAGTTTTAAGCTGCGGGGTCCGAGACTCAACTGCTCTCTACTATGTGACAGTCCAGCGATGTAACCATTACGTCATCTGCTGGTCACCTTTTTTTTTTCTTTTTTCTTTTAAGAGATTTTTGTCTTAAGGTGTGTGTGCTCACCCACGAAAGAGACAGTGAGAGGGTGAGAAATCACCATACCCCAGAGGTTATGGCCATGATGCAAACCCTTCTCCTACCAGGATTTTGGACACACATGCTCACATGCCTTGTGTGATTTTCTTTTATTTTGGGATATTTTTTGCTATAGGGCACATGAGCCCATTGGAATGACAGACAGAAAGAAAGAAATCACACTCCCCCTCAGGGGAGATGACCACACCACAATCCCTTCTCTTCCATTCTCCTCTTGGGATCTTGGGTACACATACATATACGTACCTGGTGAAAGATTTAAGTTGCCAGGTCTGGGACTTGAACTGTGGTTGACTGTGTGGGAATCTAGCGACATAAGCATTGTACCATCTGCTGGTCTCAACCTAGTGCAGTTTTCAAGCCACTGGGTCCAGGACTCGAACTGAAGTTAGCCATGTGGGAGTCCAGTGAAGTAACCACTATACCATCTGCTGGCCCTCTCATTGCTCTAGTTTTTTTAAAGTTTCAGTTACTATTATTATTTTTAATTTTTTTTTCCCAAAACACTCTTTTGTAATTGAGATTTATTGGTTGTGTCAAGGATCAGCAAAGGCATTTCAATTGGTACCCAGTTCTTAACATACGTACCAAAAATTTAAAAAGCCAAGGATAGTGGTCCTTTTTAAGTTACTCTAGTAACATTCCAGCTTCAAATTTATAGGCAAATTTTCCTTAAGAGGATACCAAGAACCACTGTCTTCAGATGTTGAAAGCTGTTACGTAAGTCCCACCAAATCACAATTTAGTATCATACAGACTACATACTTCAAATTTCCAATCTTTCACAGCACATTAACAGAATGATTAGGAAAACTGGACTACCACGACCAAAGATGTTACAGAGTGCATACAATTCTGACAGGGAGAGCAATAATCAAAGAGTGGTTTTCTTTAGGAAACAATACTACTGAAAAACATAGTAGAAGTAATTTTAAATATTCAAGACACATTAAATCCATGACTGTGACTCCAAACTGCCATTTAGTATGCTTTGTATTTAGGATATAAAAAACTACCCACCCACCCCCACATATGGAATGTTAAGCTGACACGCAAGAGAGTCAAAGCCTCTTATAAGTCAATATCCCAGTATTTTCTGGTTGTACTGAAAAATAAACAACCAGTAAATGATTTCACCTCTTAAAAAAAACATATACACTTAAAAAGTGGGATGAGGTGGGATTCTCTCCTTCTTAAAACTATTTCTGGAGCTACTAAAAAACTTGCATTTACACAATAGTTGATAAAAATACTCCTCTGGATTGTACAAGAAGGGAGACAGGGACCATCGATAAGACATGGGATATGACATTACTCAGACGTGACTTCTTTCTCACCTGCCCCATCAGAGGGTGGACTCTCCTCATTTTTAGTATCTCCATTTTCTGCAGGTAAATCTTTAGTGTCTCGGTTGGCCACTTCAGCCTGTTTCCCCTTTGCTCCCCTTTCCCTTTTGTTTGCACTCTTTTGTCTGAAGATTTATCCTTCCCTGCAGCCTTTTCTGGCTTTCTCTCCACTTTTGCAGGAGGTATAGCAGACAGCCTCGCCAATCTTCTCTTGGGCTCTTCATTGTCTGCTCTCTAGGCTGAGCTGAACTTCCTCTTGGGCATCTCGGCTGCGGACAGGGTGCGTCCTGGGTGCCTGATGAGGCCGCGGCACGCCTAGAGCCTTTGTGGAGTTGAGCAAATAAACCCTATCGCTCCTCCCTCCGTCCGAGCTGCTAGAACTCACCATTATTTTTAATGTGACCAGGAGAGAATTTGAGAAGGAAAGTGAGAAAGGAAGCCACCAGATCTGGGACTCAAATCATTGTCAGCCATGTGGAAGTCCATCAATGTAACCACTATGCCATCTGCTGACCCTTCCTGCTCTGCTTTTTTTTAAATTTATTATTATTATTAAAAAAAAAATTTGACTTGAAAGAGATAGAAAGAGAGAGAGATGGAAGATGAGTAAGCACGCTGCCAGGAATGTGACTTGAACCATGGTTGACCACGTGGGAGTCCAGCACCTGAACCACCATGCTACCTTTTGGCCCCCATGCCCTGCTCTTTTTTTCTTTCTTAAGGAATGATTTGTTTAATTTCATTTATTATTATTACTTTTCAGTTTGCTACAGGACACCCGCTCTCACTATACAGAGAGAGAGAGAGAGAGAGAGAGAGAGGAGAGAAAGGGTGAGAGCAAGCTGCCAGAGGCGGTTGGCCATTTGGTAGTCCATTGCCCCGATTACCTGCCAGCTACTGGTCCTTAGGAAAACTTTCAACCCCTTAATTTCTTTCCTCTAACTTTCTTCCACAGATTGTAGGGTAGTGTTGAAATCTACTGATAGACTTCTTCAAGTGATTTTGGCTTTTTACCTGAGAACGTGGTAGCGTCTAAGAATGAGTGATTTGATTGATTTTTAACCTCACCCCTGCATTGCCTGCTTTTGGAGGTGCTAATGAGAACAGCAGGAAATAAGAAGAGAAAATTAACACCTGGGAAACCTCCAGATTAGCAATAAAGATGTGGCTTCTCAGAACTTGACTTATTCTGCCGATAAGGCTATTTCTTTCTTTAATGCCTGAAGGTGTTTTAAAAAGTTCACGCTTACTTTCCAGCCTGAAAATTACACTCATCACACTCTAGATGTTGCATGTCTTCCTGGTGCTTATTTTCAAACTGTTTAGCAGCAAAATACGGGTAGTGAAATATGTCCTCGAGGTGGGGACATTCCTTCATGTTCTCTGCAGTGACAATGCCCACACGGTACACCAGTCTGCCTGGGAGATTGCACACCTTTTATGTACAGTGGGGAACAGACAGCATTCAGGAAAGGCAGTGTTCGAACCCTTGCCTCATACATTATTAGCTTCAGAATTTTGTATCCATTCATTACCATTCCTGTACCATAGTTTCCCTTCTCTGTAGTGTGGGAATGATAAGTACTTCAATGAGCTATCGCGAGGCTTGTTGGAGACCATACCACTAATACATCGTACACGGATTTGCAAAGTGTCCATCCATTCCTCGGAAGCAGCTGCTTGATAAATATGTGGTTGACTGCTGTACGATGAGAAGGTTCAAATTACTTTGATGAATTCAATGAATGCATTTTTTTGTGGGGGTGTAGGTCTCAAAAATAATAGCATCTTGGAGAAACTAGTACAAGAGCATCCATTAATTTGACGAATGACTGTTGCGGAAATTACGTGGGGACATGGGAGTTGTTAGCTGTGGCTTGTGTACACTCAGGGTAATGAGGCTGCGTGTCTTTTTTTTTCCCCCAGAACGCTAAAAAGAAAATGTATGGCTGCACTGAAGCCTTCCTGGCTGATGCCAAGTGGATCTTGCACAACTGTATCATTTATAACGGGGGTGAGTGGCTCAGCGACCCTGGGGAAAGAGCGCGTGTCCCGTGTATGTTGCCCATTCTCGCATTCGTCGTAGAAAAGTCAGGCTCTGAATTCGTGTATCAGGTACAAAGATCCCAAGTACATGTGTGTGGATGGGACAAGAAGCTATCTGTATTTTACGGGTAAAGCTGACATCCAGAGTGACTTGAATCTATGTATTGATGCCTTTGCCTCTTACTATCTTGTCTTGTCTTTTTTCTTTTCTCTTTTTTAAAGAATTCCTTATTTAATTTATTATTTTTTAATTTGATCAGAGAGATTTAGAGAGAGAGAAAGGGAACATGAGAAAGCAAACTGCAAGGTCCACAACTTAAACCCCATTGGACTTGTGGGAGTCCAGCACTTTAACCCCCACGCCTCCTGCCAGCCAACATGTTAATGCGTGTGTGTTTTATTTGGGAGAGATTTTTTTTTTTTGCTATAGGGTGTGTGCGCTCGCCAAAAAGACAGACAGAGACAGAAAGCGAGAAATCATCCTCCGAGGGTATGGCCACGCCACAGTCCCTTCTCCATTCTCCTCTCGGGATCTTGGGCACGCACGCCACACACGCCTGGCGTGAGTTTAAGCCACCAGGTCCGGGAATTGAACCATGGTCGACTACATGGGAGTTCAGTGACATAGCCATTAGGCAAATTGTTGGTCCCCGTATGTTTTTTAAAAAAGTATTATTTAATTTAATTTTATTTATTTATTTTAATTTGACCAGCAGAGGGGGGAGAGAGAGAGAGAGAAAGAAAGAAAACAAGCCACCAGGTCTGAGACTCAAATCGCAGTTGGCCTCATAGGAGTCTAGCACCCTTAACCACCACACCACCTGCCGGCCCCAATGCATGTGTTTTTAAAAACCTCATGTTAATGCAGTGATATTTGTATATAATAAAATACATAAATTGGTTTACTTATTTATTATTTTAAAGAGTTAATTAATTTTTAGGTTTGACCAGAGAGAGACAAATGTTCGGTATTGAGGAAGCAAGCCACCAGGTCCGAGACTCAAACTGTGGTCACTGGCCATGTGGGAGTGTCTAGTGCCTTAACCACCATGCCACCGGCAGACCCTCAATCCTTTTATTGTTTTTCAAGAGGTTTTTGCTTTAGGGCCTTTGTGCTCTTCAGAGAGAGACAGAGAGAGAGAGAGTTAAAAGTGAGACCTCTCCCCCCCAGCCCCCACGGGATGGCCACACTGCAATCTTTTCTCCTCCATTCTCCTGGGATCTTGGGCACGTGCACACACGTACCTGGCACGAATTTTAAGCCACTAGATGTGGGATTGAAACTGCAGTCATCCCTGTGGGAGTCCAGTGATGTAGCCACTTTCGCCCTCTGCTGGTCCAAAGATGCATACATGTTACATGCACATTTGATGAATTGACCAGTAGGTAACCATGAGGCCAAAGAAGATCTGTAACATTTTTGTATTCCATTCCCACTTGCCCCTTTTGTAGCCCTCCCCCAAAGAACTACTGTTCTGTGTTCCATCACTGTAAATTCCGTTTGCTTATTCTAGAAGTGTATATAAGTGCACAAATTATACTCGTGTCGGCTGATTCTACACAGTATAGCATTTGTTGGATCCATGTACCAAGTTGTGTGTATCTTTGGCCTGTTCCTTTCCATTGCTGAGTGTTTTTATGGTCTTACCATGCTACTGTTTATCCATTCATGGTGCTGACCCTGATGCGTATTTGGGTGGTTTCAGTCCTTGGGGTTTAGGAGTAAAGTGGCCGTGACGTTTTTCATACAGGCTTGCCTCTTCGTGGGTCTATACTTTTAATTCTCTTGGATAAGTACCTGGGTGTGGCATTGCTGAGTCACTGAGTAGTTTTATATTTGCTTTATAAGAAAGTTTACCCGGCTGCTTATGAAAGGTGGTTGTCCACCTTTATGCTCTCCCGAGCAGGCATCTAGAGAGTTTTAGCTGCTTCACAGCCTTGCTAACGCTTGTATCGGCTGTGCTTCCCCCGCCTTCTGAACTCAAAGGGAGTAGCTAGGGAGTTCCGGGCATTGTGAGAAATCTCTCAGGCTTGTGGGCTTTTTGCCCCAGCCTCCGAATTAGCTAGGATCACAGGTGTGTTGAGCTGGGCCTGGTATGTTGCCAAATTCTGGCTTCCTGTGTGCCCACAGCTTCCCAAGTTGTCTGTACTTACCTGCGTGGCCTGTAGCTTGTCCTGTTTTTAATTTTTTGCCATTCCTGAAGGCAAATATGTCATGGTGGTTTTACCTTGCCTTTTCCTAATGACTAATGGGTATTGAGTATCTTTCCATGTGCTTATAGTTGTGTCTGTGTGTATTTGATTAGACATCCAAATCTTCACTTTTTTCAAAAGTTGGGTCTTTTATGTTTCTATTATTGATTTACAGAAGTTCTTTATGTTCTGGATAAAGTGTTTCGTTAGTTTTATTTTAAAGAAGTATTTCATTCATTTAATTAATTAATTAACTTTAATTTGACCAGAGGGGAACAGAGTGAGAGAGGGAATGTGAGAAAGCAAGCCACCAGGTCTAGGACTCGAACTGGGGTAGGCCATGTGGGAGTCTAATGCCCTCAACCACCATACCACTTCTTCTGGCTCCCTGAGTAAAGTTTTGTGGCCAGAGTGGACGAAGATTTCCATTCTAATTTCCTTTCTTGGCACCATCCCCACTGTCCTATCTCCCCAACAACCTTCTCTGTCTACCTTCTGGCCAAGTGGGGCTTCCAGTGTCTGGCCCCCTCTGTTGGTCTTGTCCTCAATTTCCCCTGTTCTGCTCTCCCATGATTTGCCTTGATGATTTCTGCTTTGCCTCCTATCTCATTCTCTCAGTTCTCTGAGAAGCCTTCCCCAATGTCCCAGGCCATCCCCGGCTCTTGTTAAGAACTCTCATGGTTCCCGTGACTTTGCACGGCACCATTTATTCTGCTTTCTGAAGGATGCTGTTATTTTGAGTTGCTTGCTAGGATGTAAACACTTGTACGGGCAGGCAGACACCATGTCTTATTCCCTGCGTTCTTCCTGGGCCTGGAGTAGACACTTGGCTAGTGTCTGAGGAAAAAATGTGTACATGGAGTTGATGTGAGCTTTATGTGCATACATGTGTTGCCTTATTAAGTCCGCAGCAAGGCTAGGTGTGCATTAAGGGGAGAAATTGGCACTAGCCTTTGAGGATTTGTGTAAAGGTTATACACTCACATCTATAGAATGGTTTGTCACACCGTGTAAACACGTGAATGAGGTCAGGCGGGAGAATGCCAGCCTCAGGCAGGATGGTCCCTGGCATCGGGAGTGCTGGGGGCTCTGGGGCGCAGGGTGCCTCTCGCTGGTCTGAGAGGTTGCTGTTGGCAGCTCGAGTGCTTTGATGGATAGACTTATCTGATCTTTTGTTTTCAAGGGAAAACAGAAATAAAGGTATTTTTGTGTTTACCTGTGAAACCTGCCCAAGAATTTTGGAATTTCCAAAAATAAGATTCAATGAAAAGTTAAAGGATTTAGAGTTAGACTTGGAGTCTGATGCTCACCCTATTGTCTAGCTTAGGGATCTTATGTAAGTGATGGTGCCTCTGCGCGTTGGCTTATTTATTAGTTAGAACATTCATACTTGCTTTACAGTACAGGTTCATCCCTCCTTATCCCCCCCAACACACACACACACAGGTTTTTTCCATCCCCCTCCACCCACCAGGTTTTTGCCATGGGGTACATGTGCTTGTTGGAGAAAGAGAGATTGACAGAGACAGTGAGAGAGAAAGTAAGAAATTTCCTCCAGGGGAGATGGCCACATCGCAGTTCATTCTCCTCTTGGGTTCCTGGGCACGCATGCACATGCACCAGGCATGGTTTTCATGCCACCACATCCAGGACTCAAACTGTGCTCAGCCATTTGGGAGTCCCGTGATGTAATCATTATGCCATCTGCTGGCCCCCTGTAATACAACTTCTTTTTTTTTTTTGGAGAGGTTTTCGCTATAGGGCACGTGTGCTTGCCAGACAGACAGAGAGAGACATAGAGACAGAAAGCGAGAAATTACCCCACAGTGGGGATGGTCACGCCACAATCCCTTCTCCTCCATTCTCCTCTCGGGATCTTGGGCACACACGCACACGCGCCCAGTGTGAGTTTTTTAAGCCACCGGGTCCGGGACGCAAACCGTGGTCGACTATGTGGGAGTCCAGCGACATAGCCATTACGCTAACTGCTGGTCCCTAATACAACTTCTTAAAGAACTAACAAGATCTGTTTCATAGTAGTTGCTATGAGAGAGCTACCAAGTGAAATGTCTTCTTTCCCCATATTCTTTGTGACTTGGAGTCTCAGACACCGGGTAGAATCAGGCCCCTTCCCCGATCTTGAGACTCTAGAGTATAAAAGCATTTTTCAATATTATTCACAAACAGTTACAGGGAAACTGATATATATTGTGTGCCTTCAGGGACAGTGACTTTGAGGCAGCAAAGATTGGTCAACTTGTGGGAGAGGTCACACAGTTGCCACAAACTTCTGGTTTCTATCTTTTATAATCGTAATTCTTTGGGAAAGCAAGTTAAATGATTGTTAGTGGAATTAAGATCTTATTAGGGAGTATTAGTTAGTGGAAGTATTAATCCCATTTTTTTTTTTTATTCCCGTAGGAAATCACAAATTGACGCAAATAGCAAAAGTAGTCATCAAAATCTGTGAACACGAGGTACGTATTTGCCACCACCCCACTGATTGATTGATTGATTCTCTTTTGCCAGAGGGCATGTGCACTTGCCAGAGAGACAGAGAAGGGGGGTGGGAGAAAGTCTCTGCGAAGGGGGTACAGTCACATTGCAGTCCTTTCTCCACCCTTGTGTTCTTTGGGGTTTGGTCCCTCGTTCCCATGTGCCTGGCATATCTTCCAAATCTCTGAGGCCAGGATTTGAACTCTGGTCAGCCATGTGGAATCCAGTTCCCCTAGTCACCCGTCCAGAGGGCTGGCCCGCTGTCTCAGTCCATTGTCCCGTTTAGATGCACCCAGAGTGAAGGGTTGTGGTGGCTGAAATTTCTATTTGCATAACCTCCTCATGGGCAGCTGTGGCGATTTTGAAATGTATCAAGGCACTTTCAGTGTGTTGTGTTTAGGGAAAGTGAAAGCAAGAGACAGGAGACCCGATGTGCTGTAAACACCCTCACCTGAGCAGTGATCTAAGGGAACAGGAAGTGCTTTTTCAGTTTTTTAAAGAATTATTTATTTAATTATATTTATTATGATTACCTTTTAATTTGAGGAGCGAGAGAGAGGGAGAGAGAGAGGGAAAGTGAGAGAGCAAGCCACCAGGTCTAGAACTGGAACCACATTGGGCTTGTGGGAATCCAGCACCTTTACCACAACAGTATCTGCTGACCCCACTTTTTAATTTTTTTTCACTCTACGTCAGAGTTAGGCACTGGGCATTCCCAGGTTTCTTGATTTTTTTTTTTTTTGAATAGAGTTCCTAATAACTGACCCTGACTCCATATCCTGTGGCATCAAGTCAGACCCTTTCAGTTCTCTTGCAGAAGAGGTTCAGGTATTAACATTGGGGGATGCCTTCTGCTCTATGTCAGACTGGCCCAGGTGTCTTGGAGAGCCTGTCCCTCTGGCAGTGCCCACGGTTTGCTGATGTTGCTGGCGTGAACCTTTTGGGCTGGGAAACTAATTCATGGTAGAGTCTCAGTTCAAATCCAGGCAGTGAGCTTCTGGACCTTTGACTCTAAGTTAAGATGTGACTAGAGGAACGAACTTTCTTATTATCTTTAAAAATTATTCATTTATTGTTATTATTATTATTATTTTAATTTGCTATAGGGCACTGTATCTCACTCACCAGAGAGATACAGAAGGAGAGAGAGACAGAGTAAAGTAAGAAAGCAAGCTGTCAGGTCAGGGATTCTAACCATGGTTGGCCATGCACCTCAACCACCACGCCACCTGCTGGCTCCAGAATGAACTTTCTTAATGAGAAAAGGGCAGTAATTGAGAGACCTGGTTTTTATTATCAGTGGAAATGGAATAGGGCAGTGGGGTAGAAACAGCAACTCTGGACAGTGATTGATTGGGGATGGATAGAGATTGAACAAGTGGAGGAGGCTAGCATTCCTGAGAGGAGGGCTTGACGGGAGGGCAGAACTGGTACTAGGCTGAGGCCTGGTCACATCCAGCCTTGAAGGAACCATCCAGGTGTTCAGGATGAAGAATTTCTTTTTTAAAAAAATTTTTGTTATAGGGTATATGTACTCACAAAAGATAGGGATGGTAAAAAATAAAAACAAAAACCCAACAACGCCCCTAGAGGGGATAGCCACGCCATAGTTCTTTCTCCTCTATTCTCCTTTCAAGATTTTGATTACCCAGGTACATGCTTCTAGCATGTTCAGTGAGCTACCGGGAAAGGGCCGCTAACCACACAGTCAGCCATGTGGGTTCTAGGTGCCTTAACCTCCGTACCATGCTTGCCCTTGTGACAACCAAAGAAATCTGGAAACATTGCCACGTGTTCCTGGGCGTGGTGGGAAGCATTCAACCACCCGGCAGAGAACCCCTAGTAATCACGGTCCTCCTGCTTTTCAGCAGAGGCAGGCCATCGTCGCCTTTATGTTGGTGAACGGTGACTGGCTGCCATGTGTGCCCCAGAGGGCTATGGTAGAAGCCGGTGATGGGAGGCAGGCGTTTCTGGAGGCACAGAGCAGAGAGTGGTGGTGGCTGACTCGACCAGAGCACTGGGAATCGTGAGCATTACTCGGTTTCATCTCCAGTGTGTGACCACTGTGGGACATTGTTCGTCTTACCCTTCCACGTCATCGAGTATACTGCAGGGCCAGCAGATATCAGGCTGTTGGGTGATGCACTCTGATGTATTTTTGCTTTACAGATGAATGAAATCGAAGTATGTCCAGAATGTTACCTAGCTGCTTGCCAAAAACGAGATAACTGGTTTTGCGAGCCTTGTGTAAGTTGGGTTTAGTTTCCTTATTGTGTTTACTGAACTCTGTGCCATTGACAATGAGTCAGCCGGGCCAGCTTATTCCAGCAGCTGATTAGATGAAACTTTGGATGAAGTGTTAAAGTAAAGTTTTTTTGATGAAGTTATGGCACAGTGAAAATAATCTGGGTGGGATCAAAGTTTTAGGATTAAAGATCATGTCCCAGAGGTAGTAGTGTCAGGATTTACTGTGTTGATTAGGTTTGGCAGGAGGCAGAAGGGGGGAGCCCGTTAGAGATGAGCGGTGTGGCAAAGCAGTGTGGAGAGTTAGATGAACAGGGAGTGGCTGTCCTTTACAAGCCATGGTGGGCCTGTTTTCAGTCCTTCCTGGATTAAGTCCATGGCCTCAAAGACCATCGTTCTTATTAAGAAAAAATCATCTTAGTTTCCCCACGACCTGCAGTTTTCTAAACTGGTGTTCTGTGGAGAAAAGTCCATTGTACGGGTGAGCTGGTGTGTGTGTGTGTGTGTGTGTTGTGGAGGGGTGGAGTGGATCAGAGGGAGGTAAGATTGGGAACTGGGAAATAGTCTGAGAATCAAAACAACCATGCTTTGGGTCACTTCCTGCCTTCGGAGGCAGGACACCTGGGCTGCTGGTGCTCCAAGTAGCCCTCGGCATCAGGAATAAAGGCGCCATGGCTGCCGTGGTTACGGAATGGTGAGCTCGGTGCACACTGAGCAGATGGTGTTGACGATTCTGTGCCTGTGTTGCAGAGAAGGTGAAATCCATTGCTCTTGGCCACCCCAAAGATAGCAGTCCAACCAGGGTTCCAGCCCGGTTTTGTCAGCATTTGGCTCTTCACCTCACCATTTAACCCCATGCCCAGCTTTGGCCAGACATCTTGGTCACACACTTGCTAGGAAATTATACGTGGCCAGACCGAGCTAGAAACTGTTCCCTTCCCATTGCAGCCTGTATTAGCTCTCATCTGCTCCCTTTCATACCCCAAGCTTTACTTGTGTATTTTGCTACTAAATACATACAAACTCTGGATTTTGCTTTTCTTTTCCTAGAGCAATCCACATCCATTGGTCTGGGCAAAACTGAAGGGGTTTCCGTTCTGGCCTGCAAAAGCTCTGAGGGATAAAGACGGGCAGGTCGATGCCCGTTTCTTTGGACAACACGACAGGTGGGAGTTCAAAACAGGCTTTGACTGTGTAGCTTTATCTGGACCTCTGATTCGGTCATTGGGTAAGGAAAGAGATAGAGGGTTTCCTACTATTTTGTTTATTGTTGTGATACTAACCGTCGATCTCGTAGTTGAAGCAGTATTTTCCTATGCTCTGTCAAACCTGATAATGTGTGGGCTTCAGGGTCCCCCCCCCCCCCGGTGTTTAAAAAAAAAACTTTCCTCTCATTGT